TTAGCTATAGTTTCTGTTAGCTCCTGATGGCTCTTGTTGGCTACTATTAGGAGGAAACAGTTCCTTTTGTGTCCGGATATTTCCTTTTTGATCTTGTTAGCTACAGATACCTTCTGATAGCTTCTATTAGTGCCTTTTATCTTCTGTTTGCTCTAGTTAGCTCCCATTAGCTACAGATAGCATCTGAAGGACCCAGTTAGCTCCAGTTTGCTCCTGGTAACAATGATAAGAATGAGGAAAAACCAGAGGAAGAGTAATGAATAATTAAAAACACAAACACGTTCCAGGTAGAAATGTCCGTCTTTTAGAAAGTGGTGCTAAATGTATGATTGTCTGCTGTTTGCAGGTATTCGTCTGGAGTTTGTCAAACCAATCAAGGATGTGACGGTGAAGGAGCGCGAGACGGCAGAATTCAGCGTGGAACTTTCCCACGACAAAATCTCCGTGGTCTGGTACAAAAACGACGTCCGGCTGCATCCCAGTAAAGTGGTTCACATGTCGGATCAGGGAAAGATCCACACGCTGGCCTTCAAGGAGGTCACCATCGACGACACGTCCATGATCAAAGTGGAGGCCATGGACAAGACGGTGACCGCCATGCTCACCGTCATCGGTCAGTGTTTGGTTCTCCTTCCTTTGTTCGTCCTGGTTGTGGAACAGTAACTGTTAGTTTTGATGCTGAGGATGAAACATTAATTTGCGGTACAACCAGATTTATTTGGAAGTCCGATGCTTTCCTCCTGATTGTTAAACAAACTGTGTCTGCAGAGGGCGACCTGTACTTCACCACCAAGCTGCAGAACTACACGGCGGTGGAGAAGGATGAGGTGAAGCTGGTCTGCGAGCTGAGCAAAGCTGTTGCCGATGTCAAGTGGTTCAAGGACGGGAAGGAGATCACTCCGTCCAAGAACATCGCCGTCAGCACCGATGGCAAGAAGCGCATCCTGATGGTGAGGAAGGCGGAGAAGGCCAACATCGGAGAGTACACCTGCGACTGCGGTTCGGACAAAACCACGGCCAACCTCAACATCGAAGGTCTGACCTCTACTCTGTCTCTTTAGGTTCAGAGCGAAGCTTTAGAGCTGCATTTGTTAGAAACTAAAGGTTCAGCTGTTTTAGTGAATTACATCGCACTGGATCGATTCATCTGTTGGTTATTTTCTGCAACCTCATACCATCGTTAACCACAACCTGGCTCAGCAACTTCAGTTATGACCAAAAGCAATGCGACCAGATAACTGAAGATAAAACAGCCAAGTAGAAGGTAATCCTGCTCGGAGTTTGTAGGTAACGCGAAGGTTCTAGTTTTGTTGCAGAAGAACTAAAAACCAATCTGAGGTTTAAATTTAATCTTTCTCAGTTTTGGGGTCATTTAAAGTTTTTTTGCAACATAAAGTGAAATGAAACTGATTTAACAGATTTTAAAAGTGAATCCTGGGGCACCCCATAGCGCACCTGGCTGAGCGGCGACCCATGAACAGGGCTATAGTTAGCTATAGTTAGCTGTGGTTAGCTGCAATTAGTTGTAGTTAGCTATAGTTAGCTATGGTTAGCTGTAGGTAGCTATAGGTAGCTGTAGTTAGCTATACTTAACTGCAATTAGCTATGGTCAGCTGTACTCAGCTGTAGTCAGCTATGGTAAGCTATGGTAAGCTATGGTTAGCTGTAGGTAGCTGTTGGTAGCTGTGATTAGCTGTGGTTAGCTGTCAGTAGCTGTAGTTAGCTATGATTAGCTGTAGTTAGCTGTAGTCAGCTGTAGTTAGCTATGATTAGCTGAAGTTAGCTGTGGTTAGCTGCAGTT